ACATATATACTTACTTACTTACTTACTTACGTCTGTTACTCCTCGTGAAAGAACATAGGCCGCTCACCAGCATTCGCCACCCAACCCCGTCCTGGGCAATCCTTTCCAGCTCCTTCAGGATGTTACTCATCCTTTCTATATCTGCTTTTATTTCTCGACGTAATGTGGTTTTTGGTCTTCCTCTTTTCCACCCTCCTTCAGGATTCCAAGTTAGGGCACATATATGCATCGGTCCAAGTTACCATACCTCATTAGCACAAAACGTATCTACTGATCAAGAATCGTTTTCTGTATGGAAGTTTGAATTCAACAGAATTGAATTGATACTAATCTTTGTTTATATTGTATTAAGCTAGATGAAATAACTCTGCCTGTAGATCCTCTAGAGTTACTACCGGACCCAAATTCAGGTAAAGGAGATGGATTTGGAATGGGTTCGGCAACCTCATCTTGTAGAAAGAAAAATCTTGCTAAAAAAACGCCAACCAGATTAAACAAGTAAGTTAGATAAAATGAAAAATAAAGATGAAAATGAATTTGGTGCAGCTTAGTAGGTCCTTTTGGAGAAGTGATTACATCGAATCACGGCACAACTATCGGGGCGGGATAGCTGTTTTTGCAGTTAAAGCTGTGCTGTTTTTATGTATGGGTCGAGTGGTTGATTAGTACGATCTCTACCACCCAGTTTAGAGCTCACGTTAGTTCATGGGACAAGTTCAACGATCCAGGAGGCACGACGAAGATGTGTGTGTCGGGTTTTACCTCCCATAGATAAGCAACAACTGAAATGTTCAGTTTGTTAAGTTTTCAGAATATATTAGAATTGTAATATATATACATTGGGATATCGAATAGCTTTGACGCTTTGAAGCATTCGTTAATGTAGCCTGGTTTATTAGAATGAACAATTTTAGCTCCAAGTACTGTAAATCTATTAAACTTTGTCGATTGTATTTCATTGACACTAATGACTGGATCGGCAAACATAGGATGAATTTATTAAGTGATCGATAGTGAAAGGTCAGTATATGGAAGGATTCCTGTTGCAAATACACACTCACGCAGTTATGCTTATATAACAATAGAGATAAATTACATAATTTCTGTTTAAGTTTGTAACTGATTATGTAAATCAGTATTTAATGGCACCTATTCAAAGTAATATATTTTTTGATTAAGTAATTGCTGAACGGTTGTGCAAGATCATCAGTTGATTGAAGTTAGACATTGACACAGTTAGATGCTGGCTTAGTAGTCTAGAGGTTAAGCATTTACATGTGGGACCGAAAGTCCAGGGTTCGAGTTCCAAGTGCGGGATCGTGGATTCGGACTTCTGAGGCGTCCCATATTAGGACGAAATGATCATCCAGTATATCCAGATTTTTGGTGGCCTTATAGCTTAGATTGACTCGTGAATTCAACCTCCACAAATCCTTTATACAACTAATAATAAAGTTATTTAAATTAGAATCTATAAAAATATTCATCACTTTTTTTTTGGGGGGGGGGTCATAGATTTAACAAATGACGACTAGTTAGTATGCAGCATTGACAACTGATTGTTCATTTAATATCAATTTAGCTTATATATATACAGTAAATACTCCATTATCAGTCATTAAATAGAATATCTCAATAGTTGAAACAATTAGTCAATTGAAGCTAAACCACTATGGAAAATCCGGTAGCACTAGACGTCCCTCTCACTCTATTGCGGGACTCCTCGGCAGTGCGCATCCACGAACCCGCCCCATAGGATCCGAAACCGGGACCTACCAGTTTCGCGCCAGGCGCTTAACCAACTAGACCACTGAGCCGGCATCCGACGGTGTTAATGTCTAACTTCAACCAATCCACGAAATTGCGCCATCATACACCATTGTCATCGGTGAGTTACTATTTCACTACTGACCCAGTTTAACTCCACTGGTCACTGCTTCTCACTAGAACTCTAGAATATACCTCTTGAAGCCAGTCACTAATGAGCATATGTTGTTTAGTATCAGAAGGGGTTTTGTGGAGATTGTAGTAATTTCAACAGTTGAATATTATCAATTTTCATACTTTTTAAACTATTCTAGACATACAAAAGAATTTAAACAAGGTAGTAACCATGATTTGACTTAAGGTCAGATACAATAACACAATAAGAATTATCACCAGGTGGATTATTTGAATAAAAAAAATCATTAAACATTAAACAATTCCAATTCTGTAAGTTAGATTAGAAGAAGAGGGAAAGAAGTGAAGGGAACTATGTTAAGATTATTCTATTGAAGTTTAATGTTGAATGGTTATATTTTATGAATTGAAGTGTTTAGTGTTACATGATATGGGAATTAAAGAAGAACTTGGCAATGATTCATCATTGTTCAATGTATGTATGCATGTATGTATACAGTTATAGTCATATGAAGATGAATGTAAAGATAGATGGGTAATATTATTTTGTACTGTATAATATATCTCTCAATAGAAATGAGTAACACCAATAGGGTTAATTTATGAAATATACAACCATGTCTGTTGTGAAGCAGTTACTCACTGTAGACACTGATGGATGGTCGTACAATATCGTGGATGAGTTGAAGTTAGACATTAACACTGTTGAATGGCGGTTTTAATGATCTAGACGTTAAGCATTCGCATGCGTGGCCTTAGGTCCTGGGTTCGAGTCTCGAGTGTAGAATCGTGAATACTCACTGGTGAAGGGTATCATACTAGGACGGAACAGTCGACTAGTGCTTCCAGATTCTCTAGGGTGGTCTAATATTGATCCATTTATGATATCAATTTGAAAACCAACAATCTTCACAACCTTATACTAATATTAAATTTACTACAACCTCTACAAATGTCTACACAAGATATTCAATGTTTGTTGAACAGATACCATCAATAACAGCCTACTGTGGAAGAGAACAAACTAGCTTTCAGCTAAAGAGGAAATTATGAAAAGACATTGGAAATAGATAGTACATACATTAAAGAAATCATCAACAGGCATCACGAAGCAAACACTAACCTGAAATTCCTAAAGGAAATGATACATAAGAAGACCAAAGTACACACTGTGTCAGGAATTAAAAGCAGACATGAAAATGATGAAAAGTAACTGGAAATAACAACGAGAAAGGATTGTTTAGGCCAGAGTTTGATACTGGACACTAGTCGATGGCCTATGCTTTTTCACAAGGGGTAACAGGCCTAAGTAACTAAGTAAGTAAGTAGTTAGTCAGTTAGTCAGTCAGCCAATTAGTAAACAAGTATAAAATTTGAAGGGAATAGAATTGTAAACATGAATAATATAGGAAGCTGGTTAATAAACAGTTTTATGCTTTACTATCAATTCTTTCCTTTTCTTTTTTATTGTTATTGTTTTTCCTGTTTTACAAACTAAATAAAGACAGTGACTTGTTATAACTAAAGTTGTTAACTAATTTAATTATTATTACTATTTATATCCCTGTTTACTAATGAGTAACTAAATTTACATTGGAAATGATTCAATCACCAGGTCATCAATGGTCATGGAAACTTTAAGGGAATATAATTGAAGCTTAGTCATTAGTATGAATTATACTTATATATCTAAACGATTTTATGACTATTTAAATAGTGATCTGAACGAATAACAGTTTCTTAGCATTTCAACGAAAACACCATTGGTTGCCAGCTTAGTGGTCTAGAGGTGAAGTGTTCGTATGAGAGGTCAAAGGGGTGAGACTATAATTTATGGACGACCTTTAAACGATGCTGAAGTGACCTTGAGAGTTTATATCTACTTATTAGGGCTAAATAAGGGTTATAAAGCAGTTTGAAGAATAAGGATTATGATTTACAATTTATGGTTAGGATTAGGAATTAGATTTCTGGTTTTCATCACGAATTGACATCAGCTATAATGCCAAGACTATTTAGCCAAATGAATCTAAGACCTGTTATCGTAAAACTGATTGGTTCGCCCATAAATTATAGTCTCGCCGTCCAAAGTTCTGAGTTAGAATCTTGTGAGACGGGATCATGGATGTGCACGACTGAGGAGTCCCATACTAGAACAAAACAGTCTTCCAGTGCTTCCAAGTTTTCTATGGTGGTCAAATCAAACTTTCACAAGTGTCTAATTCTGAACATACAAACAGTATTGGTGGATGAGTAACGTCACATCAATTGCCTATTACTTCTTGGCTTTCAACAGTTCTATAATCCACCTTAGTTATTGACATATACTGTTTTTAAACGAACTTATCAATCAATATAACTCATCATCATCCGAAGCATCATCATAATCATCATCCAAGGCATCATTATCATCATCCAAAGCATTATTATCCAAATCATCATCATCATCATCCAAGGCATCATCATCATCATCATCATCACCATCCGAAGCATCATCATCATCTTTTTCTTCTTCTTCTATCTAAATCCTTGCTTAACTTATCTATTTCTATCAATCCACTGAAAACATTTAAGATTTAGTAATGAAATGTTCATTAACTGTCTTACTTTTATATAGTTCATTAAAGAACAAGTACAATTCATTCATTGTCTACCTTTCATTTGTTTCATTTGTGCTTATTTATGAATGTATATAGGTACATGTATGTAAATCGGTTGTATCAATCAAACGGATTAGTCTTGATACTTCTTCTATCATTATAACATATTTAATTTGTAATAGTGATGTGATAAGTATCAATCATTGTGCACAGAGTATAAGGGATATATATTGTATGTATATTTTGTAGCCTTGACAACATGCTGTTTACCGAATTCATATTAGTTCTCCTTTATCTAATCATTCCATTAATTTGAAATAAACATGATCAAATATAAATAAATAAATAAATACAAGTTGTAATGCAAATAAACAAACAAGCAACCACACAATAGACAGTTATAATGATATCTAATTGTTTATAGGTTAATGAAATGTGTATATGCCAAACTCGATTATAATATTTAATTAGATATTTGATAGACAGTAGTATAATGGGATGGTGATAGATGATGATGATGATGATGATGATGCTTTGGATGATGATGATGATGATGCTTTGGATGATGATGATGATGCTTTGGATGATGATGATGATGATGATGATGATGATGATGATGATGATGATGATGCTTTGGATGATGATGATGATGATGATGATGATGCTTTGGATGATGATGATGATGATGCTTTGGATGATGATGATGATGATGATGATGATGATGATGATTACATATTGTTTGCTTAGATTTATAAAAATAAAACATCTAATTCGTTACATAACTTGGTAAAGAGAAACTCAGATTATTTTCAGTAGTGGGTTTTGTAAATATTTGGCGACACGATAATTTATGGACAAAACAATCAGGTATAAGATAACAGGTCTCGGATTCATTCGCTCATTTGGCTAATTAGAGTTTTACCATTATAACTGACGTCATTTCGTGATGAAAGCCCTGAATCTTATTTCTAACCTTAATCATCAACTGTAAATCGTAATTCTAATTCCTCACACTGGTTTATAACCTTCATTTGATCCTGGTTATTAGTTGGACAATCTCAAGGTCAATCTGGTGTCACTCAAAAGTCGTCCATAAATTATGGTTTCACCGGAGATGTTAGTAATTTAATAGTTGAATTCACGATTCCATCATGCTGGAAAACCTGTAAGTATTAGACGGCCAATTTCATCTTAGTATGGGACTCCTCAGTGGCAGTGTTCATCTACAATCCCACTCGCAGGATTCTTTACTAATTAATCACATATACACACTACTTATTACGTAATGTTTAAGTGATTATTGTTACATTACATTTTATTTCATCTTTTGAATTATTTATTTCAAATATTATTCATTGTATAACTACTAGTTCGTTTATGATGTTAATATGAATTTGTACTTTTTATCTATAATGGTTAATTATGTAACTTTAAGGTATGAGAGACTCAGTCATAACCTAATAATGACTCACAATGTGTTAAGTAATTTGGGACGTTCTCTGAAGAGCTCATTGAAGATCAATCCTGGAATGCCCTATATATGTGAGTGGTTCGAGCAACCTCCTTAGTGTCTTCCAAAAAGTAACTTGATATATTCTTCGAAACATGTAGCGGTTTCTTGTAATAATTTCAAAGGATTTAGGTCAAGGCCGATACCAATGCACTCGACTATACTACTAGAATAATAGACAATCCAATATTGTGGATTTCCATGATGTGACTACCTACTCTGTCAGATCTTACGTAGAAATCACATCATTATCTATACTAACTCATTCTACTTTGACAGTTTGCAGTATGCTTTTTATGAATCTTTGAAGAACCTATTTAAATCGGAGACAGAATAATATATTCGATAGGGTGATTAAGAGGTTACATAAAATGACAATATCTGCATGACCGAGCCACTCTGTTCAGCTTGAGTGTTCCCGCCTTGGTAAGATTTCATATAATATCAGCCGTTTCGTCCTGGTGTAGGACTCCTCAGAAGTGCGCATCCACGGTCCCGCTCATCTCGAGATTCGAACCCAAGACCTATCGGTCTCGCTCGCGAACGCTTAACCTCTAGATCACTGAGCTGGCCAGTATCCAATGGTGTTAATGTCTAACTTCAACTGATCCACGAAATTGAGCAACCAGTGGAGTTCAACCGGGTCAATTCTGAGATATTAACTCACTGAACACAATAGTGGATGTGTTCTTCTCTAGGACGAAACGGCCGTCCAGTGCTTTCAAGTTTTCCATGTTGGTCTAGCTTCAATCGACTCATGATCTCAACTATTGAAGCTATTCTATAGTTGATAGTTCTTTTTCTGATAATAAAATAAATGGAATTCAAATCATGATTCAATTGAAGTTAGATCACCATGGAAAACATGGAAGCACTGGACGGTTGTTTCATCCTGTTGCGGGACTCCTCAGCAGTGCGCATCCACAATCCCACTTCGCGAGTTATTGTATTTAGTCGTTTATTATATTAACACTTTACAAATTGAACTGAAAAAAAAGACAGCTGACAAATGATATTCTCATATGCTTAGTAATGAATAACTTTGAAAGTTAATTCCTCGATTTAGAAGCCACTTACATTGAAGTTCAAATATCCTGGATGTCAAATAAATATTATTAATGTTTATATACTCTGTTCACTCAAAGTCTTGAACTGAATGACATTAGAATGTAAACAATTAGATATCAACTCAGTAATCTGAATTGTTAACGCTTATGCCAAGACTCAAAGCTACTGAGTTGGGTTGTGGATCGGTACTTTTAAAGGGTCTCAGATTATGATGCAAAAGCTATTATTGCTTTTTGTTTTTTGGCTATCATCAGTTGTTTAAACATATTCAGTCATAGAATTCTTTAATTTATTTATATCTGTTGGGGCGATCCAGAAAACTTCTCGCAAAAGCCAAGAAAGACTCAAGAAACACTAAGAAGTATTTTATCCAATCAGCATTCGCTTGAAGTTTAGCCCGAAACATTAAGAAAGCGAAGCCATTAGGTCCTGGGTTTGAATCCCACGGGGGGGCGGGTTCGTGAATGCGCACTTCTGAGGAGTCCCATACTAGGACGAAACGGCCGTCCAGTGCTTCCAGGTTTTCCATGGTGGTCTAGCTTCAACTGACTCATGATTTCAATCTGTGAAAATTTCTAAAATCTCCACAAACCCCTTCAGATAAAGTGAGACGTCACATGTGGAGTTTCTGATTAGCTTATTATTATCCTGCTGCTATGTTTATTAGCATTCTAGAATTTTCGAGGAACCCAAGAATATCTAAAATACTATAACAACCCTATATTTTCTGTACTAAAACAAACCTTTGGAGTAAAGTGCTTCTCGTATATTTTGTGCCTTTTCTCTCGTATTCAGATCACTGTGTAGTTCTAGCTTTGGGGGGTGGGGTTACAAGAATAGCTTAGGAACCGAATATAGCGTTCAATTAGCAACACTTATCACAGGCCATAGCAACTATTCTAATTTATTTAATGTATAAATCCCAGGTAAAGAACTTTAATCTCATTGAATCATCATGTGTTAATTTCATATCTACACAATTTGATTCATTAAACAGACTACCTGTAATATCAATAAGATAAATAAACACAATTATTATATGTATGTGATGAACTGATTCTATAACTCAGTTAGTATTCACATACCTATTGTTTGCTTGTATCTTTCCAATTGTTATTAAGGCCTACAAGTGATTAGTCTCTTGTTGGCATATGTACACTCATCGCTAGTTACTATATATCTTTTGCTTACCCATTTAATTGTTCATCATTTCACTCGTTTACTTTATCTAATGAATAATTATCAGTAACAAATACTACTTGTCAAATTATGAATTCCATATGGTTGAAATATAGTTGAATATGATGAATAAATAGATGTGAATATTTTCGTTGTTACTGTTTAGTTCTTCTTATCCATTTGTTTACAAAATGTAATTAACTATCTTACTTAAGTAATTCACTTGGTATTGTTTACTTGAATCTTCCAATTGATGTTTAGGAGTGTAATTGATCAGTTCCTTATTGGCATACGTGAATACTGTGTGTATTGCCTCTATGTTGATCTAAGTCACAAGCTCTTTACGCAAAGATGGATAGTGGTTAGCATTGGAAATCAGGACGCGTGTTTAAAGTCGCCTACTACAACGTTTTTACCCTTGTTACACCAGGAATGAAGTTTACCTAGGAGAAAATCATCTGCTACACATTCTGGACTGCGATATACTACAATTAATTCAATATCTTGCCGTTTACATTTCAGCTTACATTGCACCAGTTCACATGACCTTGAAACATGTGCCAATGTCTCAGCTACTCTTATGGTTATGGTACTTTTCGTGTACAGGATAACCCCGCCTCCCTTACGGTTTAATCTGTCAGCCCTACTGGTTGATTATCTAATAATTCTGACGTTAAGCAAGTTTCCGAGACAGCAATAACATCCGGTTTTTCTTTATCTACCATTGACTTGAGCTCTGCCATTTCATTTAGTAGGCTGCGAGTATTAGTATAGCATACCTTTAAGTCTGTGGAGAACTTTCTTTTACCACCCAGAGTGGTTTGGGGATTGTTTTGCTCCGAACTTTTACAATCTGAAAACCCTTAAGAACGAAGTTTCTTTCACCGTCTCGGCGATGCTTTTTGATTTCCGCTTCTGCAGCTCGTCTCTTAATACGAGATCCTCACGGACGTTTATTCCGGATCAAATCAGTTAACGTGAGTTACCTAGAATCAATTTCTTTTCTTCAACTGTCACAAATGTAACCTTCAAGAGGCGGTTTTTCTGGGGACTTTCAGAATCCACCTTTTGTCCTATTCTATAATGCTTACAAATACTAATTCCTGAAACTGTATCTGGGAGTAGTTTGCTTAATAAGGACTTAATATGACTGAGATCGTGTTCGGATCTAGCCTTTGGTTCCTTATCGGAAGATTCTCTTAACTTATGAAAAATGACTGACTTCTCAGAGAGATCTGTCTTGACATGCAGTGGAGTTCTTGTTTCTGATACCGTCTCTTCCAATGACTTGCTAACCAGCTGTGTTTTGCCTACAGCTTTTTTCTTCTTATTTCTTTTTCTCCGTACTGAAGTCCATTTATCATCACTCAGGACAGCCACACCGGGACTATTTGGAACAGTGACAGTTTTATCCGGGTCATCAATTTCCACTAGAGGTGTATGATTATCGATGTCAATATCAAGTGGCACTTCACTCCTTGTTAATGTTAACGGAGATTACACTTTCTCGTCAATCACAGTCGGGTGTTTAGCGGATCCAGTAGCAGCGCATACTACACTGACATATTCTTCACTGTCAGTGCTCATGTCATCAGCGCAATCGCCATCTTTTTTCTTACAGACCAAAGCCAATAGGGTTATAGCATGCTGAATTAGTAACTTCTTATTTGTACAGCAAAACATACAAAGTCAATGTGAGTTAGGCTTCGAGCTTCTCATGTATGCCATAGGACTTAGACGTGTACACATCTTATGGTACCGCTTTTTACATTCATCGTACTGCATTCCTTCCTCAACGAGGAACAAGCAGTTTGGTTGTCTACATTTATAAGTCTTACTAATCATTGTAATTTGATCAATAAGGTTTAAAACATAATATGATCACAATGTGAATACGAGTGTCAGTCAATGATTAAAAATGGTACCACAGGACAAAGTTTAGCAAAAATTTCAAACCTTAACTAAAGTACTTTTAGTTAAAGTAGACTAAGAATGCTTTTTAGTGCAATACGTACACAAAGCAAGGATAATCACGACAAGTACAAAAATCACTGCCGTTTTTGAAACGAGCGCGGTATTATTTAGTCAAAACTTAATAAAACTCGATCAAAAATATCAACGGTGGGATAATCAAAACCATTTCATATTGAATTAAATCTCATACTTGTCTCACAAGTGAATGGTTGTTTGACTAAGTAGGTAAGTGGAGATTAGTAAATTTTTGATTGAGATAATGGATCGAATCCGGCCAGTGGGATCATGGATGCATACTGCTGAGGAGTCTCACACTATGACAAATCAGTCGTCCAGTTCTTCCAGGTTTTCAATGGTGGTCTAACATCAATCAGTTCATGATCTCAGTCAAAAAATGCAACTGTGTTAGAATAAAGAATAAATAAACTGTGAAAAATAACAACAATAACTAGACAATCTAAACTAACTAAAAACACCGAAATTCTTCTTTATTTTAGTGTTTAATCATGCATAATATAACCATACTTGGTTTTTCTCTTAGTTACCTGTTCATCAAAACTACCCTGGTGATGATTAGTTTGTTTGATACGTTCTTTAAAAATAAAATATTCTCTTCATCCCCCCCCATCTAGTGAAATGCATCTACCTTTAACATATTCATACACCATCATACCTATAACCTACTAGCATGATATAAACCATAAATTTGTTGTTTATTGTCTTACTACTTAAAAAACAAAACAAATAATATACATTAAATACCATGTAGAGAGATAGAAGAAGAACAAACTACTACTACTACTATTACTACTACTACTACTACTACTACTACTACTACTACTACTACTACTACTACTACTACTACTACTACTACTACTACTACTACTACTACTACTACTACTACTACTACTACTACTACTACTACTACTACTACTACTACTACTACTACTACTACTACTACTACTACTACTACTACTACTACTACTACTACTACTACTACTACTACTACTACTACTACTACTACTACTACTACTACTACTACTACTACTACTACTACTACTACTACTACTACCACTACCCAACTATGGATCATTAATACATTCATCTGCATAGATACATATAAACAGATAAATGTACACATGCAAACTTAGTTGTGTAATTCGTGAAACGTTTCTTGTGTGTATGTGTGTGTGTGTGTTTTGTATCATGAATAATAATCAGATAGTTGAAATGTCAACTTCTTTTAGGAATATAAGTTGGGGAAAAGTTACTAATACAATAATAATAATAATAATAATAATAATAATACTGGTAATAGTAATAGTAATAAGTACCGTTATAACATAGACTGAAATGTTATGACGTAATTTCTAGTTGATTATGTAATTTTGTTTAACTGTTTTCATATTTCACTTGATTTTCTTCACTATTCATTTATCATGTCGACTAAGTTATCAGTTTATGGGTTGTGGAGATTGTTAAGTTTTTGATTGAGATCATGAACTGATTGATGTTAGATCACTATTGAAAACCTGGAAGTACTGGACGGCCGTTTCGTCCTATTGTGGGACTCTTCAGCAGTGAGCATTCACGATCCCGCTCGCAGTATTCGAACCCAGAGCTTTCAGTCGCGCGTGCGAACGCTTAACCTGCTGGACCACTGAGCCGGCATCCAATGGTGTTAATGTCTAACCCCAACCAATCCACGAAGTTGCGCGACCATCTTCCATTGTACTGAGGTAGACACCTGTTTCTACCTGACACGGTAGTTTGTTGTTAGTATATTCAGTGTGAATGTTACAACTATCATTCAGTATATATTATTGTTAATATTATTTATTTCATTTACTAATCAAAGTTTATTCATAATAGTCGAATATGGTTCTTGTGGTGTTTGTAAAGTTTGCACCAATCTCTATTCCTTTTAATGTTTCTTCGTCTTTTTTAATAATTGTTTTTATTATAAACATCAGATATGTTATAATAGTGTTGAATATGTTGAAACGGATCAAATAAGTTAATTCACTTGGTATTTGCCGGTACATTCAGTTGATGAGTCTCAAATAGGACGAAACACGTTTCATGGATTTCACTGCTAGCCACTATTCATCTTCGCTAAAAATTCTTGTGTGTACATACATGCTAACAAGAGACTGATCAATTGTAGTCCTTAATAACAATGGGAAGATACAAGCAAACAATACCATGTGAATAAATCTCACTCCATTACACAAGAAGGTGGCCATCAGAACTCAGTAGCTGAGTGGACACTGCGATGGCGTTTGAAGCGAACGGTACTGTGTTCGAGTAGCGGAGTGAACATCAAATCTGAGATGCAGGTAGATCCAGCTGACGAGTCTCAAATAGGACGAAACATACGTCCTGAATTCCAATACTAGCCATTATCCATCTTTAGATCAAATAGTTTATATGTAAAAATATCAATATCTTTGAAAGAATGCAGGAAACTGTTGATGCATAATCAGTGTTTCATTTTTCTTTATACTGAAATATTTATAAAAGACTAATTTATTGATGAATTATGTGTAATTTTCTCATTTAATACACTTCGCTTCATATTCATTATTGGTGACCTATTTGAGTATCTGGGCTACCTGTTCCTTCCATTTAGATATCTCAACAAGTTATCATTATGTCTATGAATCGCATAACCTATTTAGACGCATTTGTGAAAAGGTTTATGGCATTTCCTAGTACAACATATAAAAAAGTACAATCACAGACATTAAGGTGTCTGATAGAAAATATGCATTGAAATGAATGTACACTATTCAGATGCTAATTCTTGAACTAATAAAATGTAACTGGTGACCACTAAGTTTTTATCGTCAGGATCGATCAAGAAATAAGAAAAGGGAAAATTGTCGAGATACTTTGTACTATGAATTCTATATCGTACCAAAAATAGAATATTAAATAATGGTGATAATAATAACAATGTAAGTTACATTGATTGTAGATTTCAATGGTTACGATCATGAGTCAGTTGAAGCTAGACCACCATGGAAAATCCGGAAGCACTGGACGGCCGTTTCGTCCTATTGTGGGACTCCTCAGCAATGCGCATCCACGACCCTGCCTCCTACGAGATTCGAACCCAGGACCTACAGGTTTCGCGCGCGAGCACTTAACCACTGTTAATGTCTAACTTCAACTAATCCACGTAATTGAGCGACACATCCACCATTGTTTTCAGTGAGTTACTATCTCACAACAGACCTGGTTGAACTCCACTGGTCACTACTTCTCACTAGAACTCCAGGATATACCTCGTGAACCCAGTTACTAGTGAGCATATGTTGATTAATATCAGATGGGATTTTTTTGGGGAGATTGCAGTAATTTCAATGGTTAAGATCATGAGTCAGTTGAAGATTGACATCATTTAGAAAACGTAAATACCACATGAATATTGTATGATTGTCTTTTTTCTTTACGAGTTACATAAATGATATATTGTGATGCAGTTGGTATAGGATTATGCTTCATACTGTTTGATCACTGAGTCTTATTCAATGTCATATCTGACGCTAGTTCTCAACGTTGACTACGATCTTTCAATCCAGTTATAATGTACTCTCCATTCTTCATCACACATTTCGTTAATGAGATATGTTTGAATAAAATCATCTGGAAGGCGTAAATGTATGAGTTGAGTTTCTAAGTAATTCGTAAATAAGGATTATTTGGAATTATTATGGAGCTGATGTCATCCAAACCTACAGTTTCGAATCAAGATCACTAAACTTAATTAGGTTGGTAATTAGAAATGAAAATATATAGAAAATCGAGCAATCACCATTAGATAACTGTTCAGTGGTTTAGAGTTTAAGCGTTCGCGCACCTGACCGAAGGTTCTGAGTTCAAGTCTCGCGGGGGGTGGGATCGTGGATGCGCACTACTGAGGAGTCCCATTCTAGGATGAAACGGCCTTCTAGTGCTTCCAGGTTTTGCATGGTGGTCTATCTTCAACTGACTCATGATCTTAACCATTGAAATTACTATAGTATCCACAAGACCCATCTGATACTTACTTTGAGTTCCATATATTCTTCACTCGTAAAAATTCTATTCTTAATTTGCTAATCTTCTCCTTTATGTTTAGATCAGATCCTTCCCCTTTCATCAATGATGTCATAGAAAAATCATATCTTAGCCCATCCCCCCCCACTAAATTAACATGACAAAAGATATACAATATTCTATTTTAAGTATGTCTACAAAGGAAATTGATTGTTTTCATATTGTTGTTGTTGTTTTTTTCTTCTTAATTTTATTAAAATGAAATTTATGCAAAACATAATTCACAAATATGTCACTTTTAAAAAATAAAAAATTTTTTTTTGCTTTAAATGAACCCCCTTTTTTGTAGTCAAGCCAACAAGTGACTATTAGTTTTACACTAGAGAGAGAGAGGGAGGGAGGGAGAGAGAGTGAGAGAGGGAGAAAGAAAAACACAAATTGAAAAATAAATGACTCTAATGTTTGTTTGTTTGTTTGTTTGTTTGTTTTTGAACGGAAAAGAAACCGATGAAAATGATTTACAGATGAATTTTTGGACATATTTATAATATTTAAATTATTCTTATTGACCTATGATGTAGTTTATTTTGACTAGTGAAATTCAAATGATCTATCTTCTTATATCACAACAAGACCGATGGATGAATATGATATGTGTTACAAACTTTCATTGATATTTTAGTGGTTAAGATCATGAATCAATTGAAGCTAGACCATCTGTAAGTATTGGACGGTCGTTTTGTCTTATTATGGGACTTCTTAGCAGTGCATATCCCATTATAGGACAAAACAGACGTCCATTGGTTCCATGTTTTCCATGATGGTCTAGTTTCAATTGACTCATGATCTCAATCATTGAAATTACTAATAATATCCACAAAACCCCTTTCTGATTGAATCGATATCTTCAGCATGATATAGCTCTAATTGTGATACAGTTTAATAGTGTCTAAAGAAATTGAAGTGAGATTATGGAATTATCAGCCCCATATTCTATTCATGAAAACCTACATCATGAGGAATAAGTATCACTGATAAAATGTTTCCATCATTCAAAAAAAAATGGTTAAAGTCCATCATTCGTAATTTAGAGTGATCGACATTGGTCATTGATAAGTTAAGTAACAAGAGTTCAAGATCTTGGGTAGCCTGCTTGAATATCTGGTCTACCTGTTCCTACCAACTAGATATTTCAACAAATCATCTATTTTATTGTTTATTTTACCACATCATTATGTCTATTCAGGCACGTTTGTGTAAAAACTCATGGCCTTTGCCAGGACAATTTACAAAAAAAGTACAATCATCAAAGACATCATGATGGCTGGTACGCAGTATACATCGAAAAGAATCAATATTATTCAGATGTCGACTTTTGAACTGATAACATCAAACTGGGAATCACTCAATATTTACTGTCAATATTGATCAAGAAATATGAAACGAAAACTCGATGAAATACTTTGTACTGAGAATTCTATATTGTACCAAAAATATAATATTGAATAATGCTAATCATAATAATAATAATAAGGCAACCAGCGTATATGGCTGAAGAGTTCCAAAAATAGGATTTTATAGTAGTCTATTGTTTCCAGATTTACAATGGTTCTATCTTCATTTAACATTACTACTATGTAGAAGATTTGTAGCTCATATGTATGATTTTGATAGAGTTTTGTTCTCTGAGCTGGATGGTTTGGTCGTGGAGCTTTCATCTTTCTTCTGAACGACATCATCATCACTAACCATCCAGCTCATAAAACAAAACTCCATCAAAATTACTACTGTATTACACATTCTGGTTACATTCAAGTTAATTTAAAATGATTTATTTGATCTATCGTAGTGAACAAGAACATCAGTGGGGAACAATCGAATGTATTAGATAGCAAATTACAGAACTTCTTAATAAAATCTAACAACCATATAATAAACGCTCAATTTCCAACCATCAATTATCCCAATAATGGCCCAGACTTCATTGTTCTTGAATTTTCATACAAATTGTATTCTGTTTCTATTCTGTACTGTTCGATCCTCTTGTCTCTGTGCTGTCAAAAATTCTGTTCCTGACTAACTTTATATACTATTTATGTCAATATAA